AAATTCTTATCTATTGACAATGCCAGTGTTATTAATTGTGTCATGTGTTACTTTTCAGAAGTGTACAAGATTTTACAAAGGAAAAAGAGTCAGAGGAAAAAGAATCAGAAGAAAAAGAGCCAGAGGAAAAAGAATCAGAGGAACAAGGGTCACAGGAAGTAAAAATGCTTTTAGAGAGATTAGAAGCATCACAAAAAGTAAATGCGCAACTCACACAAACAATAAAAAGGATGGAAAAAGATGCAAACATTCGTGGAGAACAGATGGCCACCAATATTCTTCAGTCTATACAGGGTGAGGCATTTAAAACTGTTTTTCAGAATATTTGGAAAAATACAAATCGGATTAAAAAAAAGTTGCAATAAAAGTTGTTCACCTCAAAGAGGGACATCCATTAACATAAAGCTCGACCCCCTGCACCACCCCCGGGGGCGGGAGGGGGGGTGACTTTGAAATCTTAAATAGAAACCCCTATTTTTTTATTGCAGATTTGGATTCTCCGTGAAAAAATCTGTAACTTTTGTATGAGACATTTTTTTCGTTTCATGATAGATGGCGCTGTAATCGGCAAAAATGAAAATGAGTTGAAAATTGTTGAAAAATAGTAATATCTCAAAAAAATACACATCCAACCTACTTTTTTGTAACGCTGAAACAGATAAGTTGAAGTTAAGTCTCGCAACTACCCGAAGTCGCCGATTGCATTTCCATAAATTATAATTATTTTTGTCAGAAAAACAGTGGTATAATAGGGCTCCAGGTGAAGGTCCACTTTGAAAAACCTAACGCGCCGTTAGTGGAACCTCAAAGGTGGTGTGGAAGTCCACTGTTAATTTTTTAAATTTATACACGAATAAAAAGATTAGCTACTATATGAAGAGTTAACAGTGTTTTGCAGATAGAGCTATTGATTTTGTAATAGTTGCAAAAGCTTTGTAATAGTTGTAAAACCTTTTTGCCACTATTATAAAAGTAATAGTTCTCACTGCAAAAAAATGTTAGCTGTTAGTAAGCTAATCTTTCTTTTTCGTGTAAGCAAACATTATTTTTATTTTTACTTTTTGTTTATTATTTCTACACCACACATTATTTCATACTTATACTTTCAATAATACGCACAGAAAAAAATAATTGTACTATTGCAGCAAAACTGTTGCTGCTTCTTAAATACTGCCATATTTAATAATAACGTGATGACGATACGAAAATTGCTTTATTATACCTTATTAAAATTATTCACCATTACAGCAGAACGTTTAATAGAACAGAAATTATTTTACTTCTTTAGCTAAACATTTCGCACAATTATTTTTCAATAAGATTAGTGTTTTTAACACATAGTTGTCTATAAAACAGAAAATAACTTTATCATAAAATAAAAGACAAAATTTACTTAAGTTTACATGAGATATACTGTGCTAGCAAATTATTTTTCTCCGCTTGATATCTGTAAGTGGAACAAGTTTTCAACTTGCCTGCAACCATGAAGAATAGAGATATCTCTATTCTTCATGCCTGCAACATCCCTGAGATCTAAGCAGCTGCCCTCTTGTGCCGTTCGGTGAACTAAAATTGCAGTCGGTAATCCATCTCTCATGGTAAAAGGCTGGTGCAGGCATTATATTCACCCAGATAACCAAATGTTTGCACGATGACCGCATAATGCATGCACGTGTGCAATGGCGTGCTGTCATGTGATGTCCAGCTGCAGCCGCACCTGACGAGCATAGTGACGACACATAGTGCTTAACAGGTAATGCAGGTAGCATGCTAGCATATTGCCTGTCAAAATGTCGGCATCGTGTACGCATATATGAATTTTTGCGAAAATAAAAATTTAATACTATATTCATCAATTTGGCTGTGGTCCACTTGATACTATAAATGCTTCGAAGCATTCTTCTCCTTATTAATAAAGAAAGAAGAAGAATGCTTTTAAAGCATTTGTAGCATCAAGTGGACGCAGCCTATATTTTGCAGAAAAATTAATACACACCATTTTAATAGAAAATATTATATTATATTTCGAGACAGGTAAAGACATAAAAAAAGAGAAAGAAGGGAAAGAAAAGGTATAAGAAACCTCGGATAATTCTCGTAATCACAAAACTACCCAGATAACAATGTACTTCCACGGAACTAGTATGGTGAGCGTATGTCGTACTAAACGTATCAGTACCGTAGCTACCACGTACGTGCGTACTGTAGGCATACGTTATTAGTACATACACCGTATTGGTACGCGGTACAA